GGGCGCCTGTGGTCCCAGCTACTTGGGAGGCTGAGGCAGGAGACTCGCTTGAGCCCAGGAGTTGGAGGTTGCTGTGAGCTGTGAAGCCAGGCACTCTACCCAGGGGGACAGCTTAAGGCTCTGTCTCCAAAAAAAAAAAAAAAAAAAAAAAAAAATCAGCATATCCCAGTCTAGGGAGACTAGGAGTTGGGGGTGCAAAATTGCTCCACCCCACCCTTGGAGTCTGGAACGCCTGTGTCCCTGAGGCGTGGTCTGCCCCCGTGTCAGGTCTGTCTGTTGTCAGGTGCCACCTGGCCTCCTGCATGGAGTCCACATGTGTCCTGAGCGGGAATCTTTGGGGACCCTCCCTGATGGTTAATCAGTCGGGTCCTTGCAGGAAACAGATGGGCTTGTCACAGGATGCACCCAGGGGCTTGTTTACAGAGGCTGGGTGGGTGTGGGCATCTGAGAGGGACAACCCTGGACCCAGGGCCACAGCCCTGCCAGTGGGTGGTGCCAGGCAGCCTGGAGTCCTGGGGGGACAGGGGAAAGGGCTGCCTGTAGCCCATGTAGAGCAGGTCATGGCTAGAAGCCATTTGAGAGGGCCACGAGTGCTGGTGATGGTGTTCCCTTCCATCCCTCTAACCTCCTTTTGGGAAGCCAGTCAGAGGGCAGAGGGCAGTGAACTCTTCCCCATCCGGGGAGCAGGAGGAGTTTGGTCTGTTTTTATTCTTGGGTGATGACATTGTAGATGAGCCCTTTTGAGCTTGTCCAGGAAGGCGTGTCAGAGGTAGACATGTGCCCGTGCCTGCCGAGGAAGCAGCAGAGCCCTCCTCCCCACCCCCACCTCACCTGTAGGCCCAGCCACTCGGGAGGCTGGGGCAGGAGGATCACTCGAGCTCAGGAGTTTGAGGTTGCTGTGAGCTACCACGATGCCACTGTACTCCAGTCTAGCCCAGGTGACAGAGCAGTGAGACTCTGCCTCAAGAAAATTAAAGAAAAAAGAGAGAGAAGATAAAAATTACCAACATTAGAAATAAAACAGAATTCTATCAAATGTTTAAAGTGTCACACCAGTTTCTTCCAGAAAATAGAAGAGAAAACTTCCCAATTCATTTTGTGAAGTATTACCCTGATACTCAAACCAGACAAGGCAGCCCAAAAGAGGAGACCCACAGGCCCTGTCCCTCAAGAGTGCACAGAAGCCTGCACCTGAGCGGTACAGCAGCTTTCTTCATAAGGTCCCCAAATTGGAAACAGCCCAGACGGCTGTCAGGGGTGGATGTTTGAGTGCACCAGTGCTTGTCCTAGACCGTGGCCACCATCAGCAGTCACAGGGATGCACTGTCTATGCAGAGAGCTCAGCTAAGTCTCCAGAGGTGGTACTGTACTGTGTGATTTCGTGTGTGTCACTCTCTTAACACGACAAAATGATGAAAAGCAGAGACCAGAGTAGTGGCTGTCAGGGTGGGAGTGCAGGAGGAAGTGGCAGTGGCTGTGCTCCTTGTGGTGGGTGGGGGGTTCTCTGTCTACGTCTGGGCTCAGCGCGACACTGTCTGTGCAGGGTGTTTGCCACTGGTGGAAACTGGATAAAGACAGCCAGGCGTGGTGGCTCAGGCCTGTAATCCCAG